CCCCTCAGCAGTGTATTTCAGTCAGTCTACCTGTTCTGCTCCCCGCTCTGTCACTGGTGAGTCCTCTCACCCTCCCGCACATCTGGCCTGTACCCCAGATCTTGTATAAATAAATAAAAATCTTTTTTAAAAATTAAAAAAATAAAATAAAATCAGATTGCTGAGAGCCCACTGGCTTCTGCTATAGGTTTTTATTTTTTTTAAATTATTTATTTATTTATTTATACAAGCACTGGGTACAGTCAGAAGCATGGGAGGGTGAGAGAATTCACCAGAGCCAGAGCGGGGAGCAGAGCAGGCAGAAGGACCTAAGTACACTGCTGAGGAGAGCAGCGGGCGGCAGGAGAGGTCTGCGCGCCATGCGGGACCCTCCTCCGGTGGCCGGGAGCAGCCGGGGATCGAACCAGCGCCGCAGAGGCCGCGGGCAGCTTCGCAACCCAGCGCTCAACCGCTGCGCCACCGGGGAGGCCCTGCTATAGGTTTTTAATGGAGTTGTGCCTCACAGGAAGTTCTCTGCCCCCAGACACGGGTCCATGGGCTTCTTATCTCAGGAGCACAGCAGATGGCACCGAGGGAAGGTAGAGAATTTCCCCAAGGGTGATTCCACCAGGTCCATCCACCTCACAGCCTTCCTGGGCTACATGGCAGCATGACCACAATGTTCAGGAGGTGGATAGCCAGGATCAAATGTGAACAAGAAGGAAGTTATGGAGGCTGGGACCACTGTGGAGACACCCATGGTAGTGGTGGGCATTGTGGGCTACGTGGAAACCCCTCAGGGCCTCTGTTCCTTTAAGGCCATCTTAGCTGAGCATATCAGTGGTGAGAGCAAAAAGCACATTTATAAGAAGAAGGTTTTCACTGAATAGAGCAAGAAGTGGCAGGATGAAGATGGCAAGAAGCAGCTGAAGAAGGACTTCAGCAGCACAAACAAGTTCTGCCAGGTCATCCTGCCATTGCTCACATCCAGGTGTGCCTGCTGCCTCTGCACCAGAAGGCCCGCCTCATGGAGGTCCAGGTGAACCAAGGATGGTTGCTGAAAAGCTGGACTGAGCCTGAGAGCGACTGGAGTAGCAGATCCCTGTGAAGCAAGTGCTGGACAGGATGAGACGATCGATACCATTGGGGTGACTGAAGGCAAAGGCTACAAGGGGTCAGCAGCCACTGACGTACCAATAAACTGCTCCCCAAGACCTACCAAGGGCTGTGCAAGGTTGCCTGTGTCAGGGATTGGCATCCTGCTGGTCAGAAAATGCCAGACAGAAAGGCTACCATCAACACACTGAGATCAAGAAGATTTACAAGATTGACCAGGGCTTCCTTATCAAGGACCGCAAGCTGATCAAGAACAATGACTCTGCGCATTACAATCTGTCTGATAAGCGATTAACACTCTGGAGGCTTTGTCCACTACAGTGAAGTGACCCATGACTTTGTCATACTGAAAGGCCATGTGATGGGGACCAAGAAGCAAGTAAGTGCTCACCCTCTGCAAGTCCTTGCTGGGCAGACCAAACGGTGGGCCCTGAAGAAGATGGACCTGAAGTTCATGGTCACTACCTCCAACTTTGACCATGGCGGTTTGCTTTTTGTCTCTCCTAAAAGTGACTTCCAGGATGGCAGGAACCCTCAATAAATGTGCTCAATAAATGTGCTCAATAAATGCTAGAGATACGGGCTTGCTCTTTGGAAGGGCACTCCTCCATCCTCTTGGCTGCAGTGGGAGAGGAGCTAAGGCGGCTAAGGTGGCCCCGCCCCGCCCCGTCCCTCCTCTCCCCTCCCCTCCCCTCCCCTCCCCTCCCCTCCCCTCCCCTCCCCTCCCGAGAGGGAAGGGGACAGCGGGCGGCCTTCAAGGCCACGCCCCCGGCCCGCCTCCTCGGGGACGCCTGTCTCTTTAAGGGCCGCGGGGCGGGGCGCGCAGCGCAGCCTCGCTCTGGGGCCGGGGCCTGCGCGCTCTCGCCCCGCGCGCCCCTTGCTCCTTGAGCTTCGTGCACCCACCGGGCAGCGGTTTCTGCTCCCGAGTGGTCATGTCTGCCAGCCAGGACCGGCGGGGCGGCGCGGCCCCTGCCCGGGTGCCCGCGGCTGGCGACCGCGAAGGGCCATGATCCGGCTGGGCGGCTGGTGTGCGCGGCGGCCCCGCGGCACGGCGACCCCGGCGGGGCGGCGCTGGCAGTCCGGGGGCCCGGCGGGCCAGGGGCGCAGCCGCGCCCTGCGGGTGCTGGTGGACATGGACGGCGTGCTCGCCGATTTCGAAGGCGGTTTCCTCAGGAAGTTCCGCGCGCGTTTCCCCGACCTGCCCTTCATCGCGCTGGAGGACCGGCGCGGCTTCTGGGTGTCAGAACAGTACCGCAGCCTGGGGCCCGAGCTGAGGGTGAGCGTCCCCAGCCCTGCAGCCTCTCGCGCCCGAGGCCCGGCGCCCTCCTCGGGGCGGGGGAACCGGGGTCTGCCTCCCCAGCCCTGGGACTGAGAGCCCGCGCGACCTTGAGTGGGTCACCGCCTCAGCCTCAGGGGGCTCCGCTTGCAAAACCTGTCCTGGGAACAGCGGCGAGGACAGAGCCAACCCTGTGCGCTCTTGGCTGACCTGGGGATGTCTCAAAATATCCCTAACTCTCTATCTTCAGCTGACTTCAGTATTTGGGGGTAGATTCGGCTTCTTTTATCTTTGAATAAAATAAACGTGACAAGTCAAATCCTCCGGCCCATGCCATAGTCACATTCCCATTTCTTCCTCCTGAAATTGATGATTGCTTCTTACCATTCTTTTTTTTTTTGCCCTTTTGCGTGAAAGCATAGCTCCCACTGGTGCTTGAAACACAGAGGTTGAGTTACTTTCTGGCCAGAGCAGGGAGTCAGTGGTCCAGGTGGGATGGGATCATCTGTTGGGCTTATCCCCTTGCTCTGGTGGCCCTGCTGAACACCTGAGCCCGCAGACCCCTGGGACTCCTGCTGTCCTCTGCTCTCTGAGTCAGTGACGGATTAGAGGAGATGGGGAGAGGGTTGTCCAAGTAGGTTTGCAGACAGCTTGCTTGTAAATTTAAACTATTTTGTGAAAGGATAGGTATTTTATCACGCACAAATATAGGTGTTTTCTGGCATCCTTGATGGGCCACTTAAGGTCACTGTCAGATAATTTAATCACAATGACGATGATGGTATTAGAGTGTTTTGTAACCGCATCTTGATGGCATTATCTCCTCTGTGATATAGACATTATCTCCATTATGCAGGTGATGGCCCAACTTGCATAGCTCGTAAGGGGCTCAGCCAGCATTCTGACTCAAGTCTCTCTGCCTCCCAGACACCTTTGGCCTCCCCCACCTCAAAGTTCTGTTCTCTGTCCTGCTGTCTCTAACAAGTGACCTTTCTTTGGACTTAAAAAAGGTACTTTGAGATATTTTGGTTTGTCGAGGGGCAGATGTTACAAAGGAAATTCAGAGTCATTTGTTTTCATTACTACCAGGCACTTCAGAGATGGCTTTCTCCTAGTCCCTTGCACAGACTTCTCTCAGTGCTGATGTCTTATTAAAAACTTTAAACCAGGGAAAGCACCCTAGTAATTTTTGCAGTCTCAGAACATATGCTCTTGGCTCTGTTGGTGTTCCTTTATAAGCATTGCCCAACATTGGTAGATTCGGTACCTTATTTCCTCCCACAAGTGTATTAGGGTAATGAAACTAAGCTTAACCCCAATTCTGAAAAGGACAGTGGCTTCAGCCCTTTGTACAGCTGTGTGGACTCCAGGTTTAAGGAGATGAATTGCCATTTTCCAAGAACCAGGCAAAGGAACAGAACTCCTGGGGCAATCAGGAACACTGCACTGAGGTTGATCTCATATCTCCTGCTTCTGGGAACATTGCAGGAAACAGAATTTGACAGGTGAGCACATGCCTATTATCCCAGCACGGCTCAAACTAGGACATCCTCAGGTCTCCTCTTGCCCAAGCTGGCCCAGTATCTGCAGTTAAAAACAACCAACTGACTGACTTACTCAGCTTCCATATGTAAGCATTTCTCCTTATAATCCATATTCTCTTTGCTTTTTACAGTGATCTGAGATGAGAGGTAAACAAGGCTTCAGAGGAAGGCAGGGGTCATTTAAACTAGCTTAAAATCTTATGGTATTTGGACAGTTGAGGAACCTGGAGAGAGGGTTTTGGAGCAAGTCCATGAAGGTGGGATGGTAGGGATGCAGGGACATTGATCACTGAGGTGAGGTAGTCAGCCTAGGGGCACACAGAAGTGCATATCTTCTGACCTCTAAGTCAAGCACGCTTTCTGCCATGCTACACTGTCTCCTGGGTGAGTGAGAAGCCCCAAATTCAAGTTGTCACTCATAATGGCCTTGAAGAAAAAAATCCTTATCTGTAAATTGGGGGTGGCAATTCTTGCCCCTTGTGGGATGTGAGGGTCATGCAAGAGACAGAGTAAATTAGCAAGTTGTATAAGTTAACAAGTTGCATAACCCTTTGTAGTTCACATGAGTTTTGCCAGATTGGTCTGGGGTACTGCCCCATGGGTGTAGTGGTGGCTCTTGTGGGGTGTTCAGCTTCTGACTGACAGAACCACTTCCTGCCTCATTCATGTGGGGCTTAGCTTCCTACTTCTCAGAGGCTGGGCTTTGTCTCCTCTCCTGTTGTCACTTACTCCTTATCCTGGCCCTGGATAAGTGTGACACTCTGTAGATGTGATTTTGGCCCAGCCACATAAAGTGGAGACTTCCATGCTGGGGTTAGGAGATGGATTCTACCCCCTGCTTGGCCACTGTTCTTCTGTGTGACATTAGGTGCATCTTTACCCATTCTGAATGTTGTTTTTCTCATATATAACAAGAAGATTAGATTTTCACTTTTCAAACTTTATTATTTTTTTGGTAAGATTTATTTATTTATGCATACAAGAAGTGGGGTATAGACTAGAGGTGCGGTGGGTAAGAGGATTCACCAGAGAGAGTGGGGAGCAGAACAGGCAGATCTGCTGAAATACACTTCTGAGGGGAGCAGCGGGCGAGACAGGAGAGGTCTGCTGCACCATGTGGGTTGCTCGCTGGCCAGCAGGGGATGGAACTCATGCTGCAGTGGCTGCTGATAGTTAGATAGCGCTGTCTTTAACCCCTGCGCCACCAGGGAGGCCCTATTTTCAAACTTTAAAAGCAGAAGAAAACTTAAAACAAAAACCTGTATTATTAGCATCCCAATACATAAAACAGTTAGTGGTTAATATAGGTGAGGAGTCTAGAGCTCTACCTAATTGATCTTCCATCCACACCCCTCTTATCCTGCCTGGCACAGGCACTCTTAAGTATCTTTGAATTCCTCCAGCCCTCAAATTTAATGACTCTAGTGCCAAGACCTGGCCCACCCTCGGAGCCTCCATGATGCTTCTGGCTATTAGAATCAAGCAAGTATGTGGTCATGGGGAGCAGGCTCAGGCCCCAGAGGGCTCTAGCCAGGCCTCCAGCAGAGAGCAGCCTTTGGGACCCACCGCCTCTGACACTGCAGCTGTTCTCTGCTGGATCCTGGCAGAAATCAGGTCCCTCTTGGAGAGGAGCCAGAACACACACAAGCTCTGTGTACTCCCTCCTTCCCCCCAGCCCCCAGGGAATGTGTCCTTAGGTGTGTGTATAGGGGGGTAGGGGTGAGGGGACCAGAGAAGCCCCACAATCTAATCAGCCACCCTTCCCTGTCAGGACATCCTGTTATGAGGTGATGTGCTGAGGACCCTGGAAGTCAGCTCTTTCTCTCATCTTCTTAGGAGAAAGCCATCAGCATTTGGGAATCGAAGAATTTCTTTTTTGACCTTGAGCCTCTCCCAGGGGCTGTGGAGGCTCTGAAGCAGATGGCCAGTCTGGAGAAGTAAGTGTGTCTTCAAGCCCAGTGTCTGTACCTTCTTCCTGCCGTCACCTCTTTGGCTTCTGTCCCCTCGCTCTGCCTCCTTTCCTTCTCTCTTGTCATCCCCTGCACAAGGTCATGCTTGTTTCATTGTGTCTGGAGCTGGTAGAAACCTAACGGAACAAAACAGATTCCCTGTATATTTCTGTCAAGATGGTTAGATCCAGTAATGAGAAAAGATGCCTATTGACCTGGTTCACTGGGTGTTCAGAGTTCATTTCATCTGAGAACTGGCCCTATTAGCTACTGCTGGGCAACAGTGTAAAGGAATGAGCAAGAGATGGTCCTCATGAAGCTTACAGTCTAGCCAGAGAGCATACGTGAAGGTAACACAAGCGAAGGTGATCACAGATTGAGGTCGGTGCTGAAAAGAAAAGAGTGTAGAGGAGACCTAATGAGACAGGGTGGTTAAAGAGGCAGGAGTATTGTGGGAGATACTTATTTTGTTCTAGTGAAATGATTGATTCTGTGACTGAAACCCCACTCTGTAACCTTGACCCACTGCCCACTGAAGTCCACTAGCAGTTATAGGTGAGAACTTTTTTTTTTTTAATTTATTTTTTTATACAAGCACTGGGTACAGTCAGAAGCGCGGGAGGGTGAGAGAATTCACCAGAGCCAGAGCGGGGAGCAGAGCAGGCAGAAGGACCAAAGTACACTGCTGAGGGGAGCAGCGGGCGGCAGGAGAGGTCTGCGCGCCATGTGGGACCCTCCTCTGGTGGCTGGGGAGCAGCCGGGATCGAACCGGCGCTGCAGAGGCTGCGGGCAGCTTCGCAACCCAGCACTCAACCACTGCGCCACCGGGGAGGCCCTATAGGTGAGAACTTTTGATGGCTTTTTTTTTTAAAAAAAAAAAGCCTTATTGAAATATAATTTACACACCATACACCTATTTAAAATGTACAATTCAGTGGTTTTAATACATCTACAGAGTTGTACAACCATCACCATAGTCAATTTCAGAATATTTCCTCACCCCCCCCAAAAGAAACACTATACACAGTCATTAGCAGTGACTGTCCATTCCTACCTTCCTCCTATAGCTCTAGGCAATCAATAATTTGTGTCTATAGATTTGACTATTCTGGGTTTTTTTTTTTTTTTTTTTTTTTTTTTTTTTTTTTTTTTTTTTTTTTTTTTTTTTTTTTTTAAATATTAAATTTTATTTTTATATTCCCCCATACAATGGGCAAACGCCCATTCTGACCCAAATCCTTCCCTCCCGCCCCCCACCCCCCAAAAAGTGTCTCTGGTTCATAGTTTTTGTGATTTTGATTTTCACTTTCTTATATTCCATTTTGCCTGGTCCCTTATTTAAGTTTCTAGATTCCTGCTATGAGTGAGACCATCCGGTATTTTTCTTTTTCTTTTTGGCTTATTTCGCTGAGCATGATCCTTCCATCCAGTGCCTCCATGTTGCTGCAAATTGCATGTGTTTATCTTTTTTGAATGCTGAGTAATATTCCATGGTATATATGTACCACATCTTCTTGATCCAGTCATCTATTTTTTGGGCATTTGGGTTGTTTCCAAAGCTTAGCTATTGTAAACAGTGCTGCTATAAACATAGGAGTGCAGGTGCTCTTTGGAATTGATGTTTCTGTGTCCTTTGGGTAAATACCTAGGAGTGGAATTGCTGGATCTATGGAAGCTCTATGTTTAGTAGGTCCAGAAATCTCCACACAGCTCTCCATAGTGGTTGGACCAGTTTGCACTCCCACCAACAGTGCACAGAGTTCCTTTTTCTCCACATCTCCGCCAACATTTGTTGTTGCTAGTTTTTTTTAATATGTGCCATTCTCACTGGTGTGAGATGGTATCTCATGGTAGTTTTGATTTGCATTTCCCTGATTACAAGTGATGTTGAACATTTTTTCATATGTCTGTTGGCCATTTGCATTTCCTCTTCAGAGAAGTTTCTTTTTAGCTCTCTGCCCATTTTTTGACTGGATTATTTCTTTGTTGTTGCTGAGTCTCATCAGCTCTTTGCAGATTTTTGTGATCAGTCCTTTATCATTAGTGTTGGGTGCAAAAATGTTCCCCAGTTGGTGGGGTTTCTCTTTGTTTTTGTTATTGTCTCTTTTTTGCTGTGCAGAAGCTCTTTAATTTGATGTAGTCCCAGCTGTTTATCTTTCTCTTCACTATCACTGCTTTGGGTGATGTGTCTGTAAAGATGTCTTTGATGTGCAAATCCCGTAGTGTTTCGCCTATATTTCCTTCTATGTATTTTATGGTTTCAGGTCTTATGTCTAGTTCTTTAATCCATTTTGAGTTGATTTTTGTGTATGGTGTGAGGTAGTGGTCAAGCTTCTTCTTTGCATGTAGCGACCCAGTTTTTCCCAGCACCATTTATTGAACAAACTTTCTTTGCTCCAATGCATAGTCTTTGCTCCTTTTCAAGATTAGTTGACCATAAATCTGTGGGTTTATTTTTCTGGACTTTCTATTCGATTCCATTGGTCTGTATGTCTGTTCTTGTTCCAATACCATGCAGTTTTGATGATATGGCTTTGTAGTATAGTTTGAAGTCTGGGAGTGTGATGCCTCCATTTCCTTCTTTTTTTTTAGTAGAGCTTTGGCTATTCGGGGTTTTTTGGTGATTCCATATGAATTTCATCAATAATTGTTCTATTTCTTTGAAGAATGCCATTGAGATTTTGATTGAATAGCATTGAATCTGTATATTGCTTTTGGTAGGATGGCCATTTTAATAATGTTTATTCTTCCAATCCATGAGCAGGGGATGTCTTTCCTTTCTTTGTGTCTTCTTCTATTTCTTTAACAGTGTTTTATAGTTTTCTTTGTATAGGTCCTTTACCTCTTTTGTTAGATTTATTCCCAAATATTTGATTTTTTTTTGTTTCGATAATAAAAGGGGTGGTTTTTTTGATTTCTTCTTCTTCAGATTTATTGTTTGTGTATAGGAAGGCTACTGACTTTTGCGTGTTGATTTTGTATCCTGCCACTTTACTGAATTGATTGATGAGTTGAATTAGTTTTTCTGTGGAGTTTTTGGGGTTCTCTATGTATATTATCATATCATCTGCAAATAGTGATAGTTTGACTTCTTCTTTTCCTATTTGGATTCCTTGATGTCTTTCTCTGTCTTATTGCTCTGGCTAGGACTTCCAGTATTATTTGAAAAGCAGTGGTGAGAGTGGACATCCTTGTCTTGTTCCAGATCTTAATGGAATGCTTTCAGCTTTTCACCATTGAGAATGATACTGGCTGTTGGCTTGTCATAGATGGCCTTTATGATGTTGAGGTATGTTCCTTGTATCCCAAGAATTTCAAGGGCTTTTATCATGAATGGGTGGTTGCACTTTGTCGAAAGCTTTCTCAGCATCTATTGATATTATCATATGTTTTTATTTCTTTTGTTGATGTGTGGATAACGTTGATTGATTTTCGGATGTTAAACCATCCTTGTGCCCCTGGAATGAATCCAACTTGGTCGTGGTGAATTATCTTATGGATACATTGTTGGATTCTGATAGCTAAAATTTTATTGAGGATTTTTGCATCAGTGTTCATTAGGGAGATTGGCCTGTAGTTTTCCTTTTTTTGTGTTGTCCTTATTCGGTTTTGGTATTAGTGTAATATTGGCTTCATAGAACGTGTTTGGTATTGTCCCGTCCTTCTCAATTTTTGGAAGAGTTTGTGAAGGATAGGCACTAATTCGTCTCTGAATGTTTGGTAGAATTCATTTGTAAATCCATCAGGTCCTGGGCTTTGTTTTTTTGGGGAGGTTTTTGATTACCATTTCAATTTCGCTCCTTGTAATTGGTCTGTTTAGGTGTTCTATTTCTTCTTTATCTAGCTTTGGGTGATTGTAGAGTTGTAGGAATTTGTCCATCTCCTCTAGATTGTTGAACTTGTTTCCATATAACTGTTCATAGTAGTTACTGATTATTCTTTTGATTTCTGCTGTGTCCGTTGTGATTTCTCCTCTTTCATTTATGATTCTGTGTATTGTGCTTTCTCCCTTTTTTCCTTTGTGAGCCTGGCTAGGGGTTTGTCTATTTTATTATTTTTCAAAGAACCAGCTCTTGGTTTCATTGATCTTTTGGATTGTTTTTTTAGTTTCATTTCATTATTTTCTTTATTTTTCTGTTCGGCTTTGTTTTTTTATTTCTTTTCTTCTTCTACGAGTTTCTGGGGTTGTTTTTTTGTTGTACTTTTTCTAGATCTTTGAGTTGGCTTCTGAGATGGTTGTTTCTTTGAGTTCTCTTCTTGTTTTGATGTGAGCTTCTATTGCTATATATTTTTCTCTATTATTACTGCTTTTGCTGCATCCCATACATTTAGGATATTGGTGTCCTCCTTGTCATTCAATTCAAAGAATTTTTTAAATTTCTTCTTTGATCTCCTCGTTAGTCCAGTGGTCTTCCAGTAGTGTGGCTTTTAATCTCCATGAGGTAGGATAGTTCCTTGCCTTCTTTTTATGATTTATTTCTAGTTTGATGCCTTCGTGGTCAGAAAAGATGGTTGGTATGATTTCAATCTTGGTGTATCTGTTGATGTTTGTCTTGTGTGCCCCAGTATGTGATCGATCCTGGAGAATGATCCGTGTGCGCTTGAGAAAAATGTGTACTCCGTTTTTTTTTGGGTTTAGTGTTCTATAGATGTCTGTTAAGCCCAAATGCTCTAGGTCCTTATTTAGAGCTTTAGTTTCTTTACTTATTTTTGTCTTGTGATCTATCCATTGTTGATAGTGGTGTGTTGAAGTCTCCCACTACATATGCTGTCTTCTCTGATGTCTGTTTTCAGAGAGACAACAGTTTTCTGATATATTTTGGTGCTCTTTCGTTTGGTGAGTATATGTTAATGAGTGTTATTTCTTCTTGAAGTATTGTCCCCTTAATCATAATGTAGTGACCATTGGGGTCTCTTTTTATTTTTTTGAGTTTGAAGTCTGTTTATCTGATATAAGTATAGCTGTTCCTGCTTTCTTTTTTTGGCCCATTTGCTTGCAGGATTGTTTTCCATCCTTTGACTTTGAGCCTATTTTATCTTTTGTAGCTAAATGTGTTTCCTGAGACAGCAAAAGGTTGGGTTTTGTTTCTTAATCCAGGCTGCAACTCTGTGTCTTTTTATTGAAGAGTTAGTCCATTTACATTTAGAGTTAATATTGATATGTAGCATCTTATTTGCCATTATGTTTGTCTTCCTTTGATTTTATTTATTTATTCTTTTAATAACTTTTTTTTTTTTGGTCGTCTTCTTTCGTTGTTATTCGTCCCTCTGAGGTTCTGGCTTTTAGGATCCTTGTAAGTATTTTTTGGAGTGGGGTTTAGTCGCAATGAAATTCCGGAGTTTCTCTCTTTGTCTGGGAAGGTCCATATTCTTTCTCTTCATGGAGGAAAGAGAGCTTTGCGGGATAGAGTATTCTTGGTTGGCATCTGTTTTCTCTTGGAGTCTGTTGACTATGTCCTCCACTCTCTCCCTTGCCCGTAGTGTTTCTCAGAGAAGTCTGATGTCAGCCTGATTGGTTTTTTCCTGTTGAATGTTTATCTGTTTTCTTCCCTCT